AAGCTAATAAATTAAAAAAAAAAAAAAAAAAAAAAAAAAGGATTTTTGGCTGCCAAATCAACAAGGTGCCTGTTGTAAATTAATCTTTTGTCAATAAGAAAATTCTAGTACATAATGGAAAGTTAGCCCAAACTCTTGGTTATGACGATGTTCAAAAATGTGTTTGTTTGTTTGTTTGTTTTTCCCCTGTGTTTATCCTCTCACTGGTAAACAGTTTACAGGCATTCTAGGGATCTGGCTAATGAATCTTGGTACATTTGGAGTTTGCAGTATCACACCTCAAAAGACTGTAGTTGACTTCAGACACAAAGCTACAGTGAAAGGGAGAGAGTGGCATGTGCCCCAGCAGCAAGTAATAGAATTGCACTTACTTTCAGAAAAGACTAAACATTTTCTTCCATTTTCTGCTGTGTTTTTTTTTTTTTTGTTTGTTTGTTTGTTTTCTTGTTTGTGTTCTTCAAAACAAACAAGCAAACAAAAAACACAGAGAATATCTGGTCAGAAAGGATCACTTTCAGCTGGAATAGAATGGACTATCTAGACGATCCTCCCTTCTCTTCACTAATACTGTGTAAAACAAATAATGCTAACAGCCAGCTGGCCACTTTTCTTCCCATTTTCAGCATAACTGCTTATTTTAAGTTGATGCTTTAATAAGCAGAGGGATTTTTCATAATCCTTAAAAGGAGTTAAAGCATGAAGACACTTTAAGAAATGAGATGTTAAGTCTTTAACTAATGAGATTATACAGTAGAGACCCTTTAAAGATGGCTTGGCGTAAGTGATCCAGCAGCAATAAAGACCCTATTATAGGTCAACAACTTATTTTGTGGACAATGGTCCCTTTTGAAGAACTCATGCAATCAAAATTTAGATTTGTACAAAGTGCTTAATGTTACTGAAGTCTTTTAATATAAATGTATGAGCTCTTCTGAGCCATCTGTGTATACTTCAGTGTGCGTTTTACTATAATGCCGGACCTTTTGCATGTTTTAATAAGTGAGAAGAATCTTTACATTTCCTTGTCTCAAAACAACATTATCTCCTTTGTGATCCCATGAATGCCATCCATTCAATATTATATTTTTTGTAGGAACAAGAGGGAGAAAAGTCACCAGATTTCTTTTTTTTAAGAAAAAAATTAATACCTCAATATTTAAGAATGCAGTGATTTTTCTCTCAAAAAATAAAAAATAAAGATAAATAAGCACACCCAAAATTCAACTGTAGGATGAGGGCCATGCCTGTAATATTTGACTGTAAAGGTCTTTTTTTTAAGTCTTTTTTTTGTGTGTGTGTGTGTGTGTGTGTGTAAAGATTTGAACATTTGAGAACATAAAGATGCAGTGTGGTTTCTATAAAACCTTATTGCCTTCACTGCTGGTGAAAGTCAGCCTGCTTTATGGGAAAAATAAGGAATTTCTGAAGAGATGTCAATATCCTCCTAAGTATTTTAAAGTAGAATCTCACCTTCAAATTCTATACTCTTAAAGAATCTTTCTCTGTGGTTTCTAGGACCTGATCCAAATCTATTAAAATAAATTACATCTCTTGTATTGATTTCTGAAAACTTTAAATTATGTCCTAAACATATCTTATTTTGGTAGATTTTTCACTGAAGTCAATGGGGACTTTTCCAACTTAAGGAAACCTCCAAAGACTGTTACAGATAATTTCAGGTAATCTGTTGTGGTTTCCCATGCTTTTGAATTGAGCCACATCTGTCAGTCCAGCATGTTTATTTGTTGCTTATTCCAGTTCAGGATGATTTGTACTTCTGTGTTTCAGGTGCAGACGAGGGGCGCTAGTGCAGGCATGGTGTCCATCCTGTGGATCTCAAGCTCTTGAGTAATTCACACATGAACCCCATACTGCAGCTATGTCACATCACTGGTGCAGGGATGTGTGGACATGAGGGCTTGGCTGCTGGGAATTCCTCGCCCTTGGAGGATGCAAGCCATCAGAGGCTGAGGCTGATGCATTGCCATGGGAGCAGGAGGCACGCTCAAAGTGGCTGTGGCCTACAGGGATGTTTTGTGACTCCATCAGAGAGCCACTATTATCTCTTCTCAACTGCCTCTGAAATTTGTGGTTTGGTCAGCTTTGTGGTAGAAGTTGGTGTATGTCTTATGAGGTCAGGAAGAATGATGACTTTTGGACTTGTGGTGGACCCTATTGGCAGAGTTTTCTTGATATTAAGTCAGGGTGCTATCCTGGTGAGCCCGAGGGCAGAAGACCCACCTACCCAAGGGTTCCCATGACAGCCTGGGGAAGATGGAGGTGGCTGGTATAATTGTACCCAAAGTCCTACAGCTGTGACTTTGCTACTGCAGCTATAATATAGTTAGTTGGCATTGGGGGAAACAGAGGTAGGGTGTCTATAATCTTCCACTAGAAAGCACTTGAATGGTAGGAGAATGAAGCTCAGTGGTGACTGGATTGCATAATTAATGTTCTTGAATTTCACGATTCTTACAGTTAAGAATTTTAAAGAATAAGGAAAACATATGAACATATGCCACTTATCTATATAGTTCTGCATGGCCTTGCAGAAGTGTTTGGGCAAAGGAATAAACTCAGATGTTCCTACAGATAACGGTGATGCCAGACTTAGGACCATGATACACTGCTTGACTACTCCCACTCCAAATCTGCTTATGCCTGTTGCATTCATTCATGGTTTTAATGCATCCAGTTTCCCAAAAGGAAAAGTAATAGCATACTCATTTTGCTGCATGGTGCCTAAAGTACATCTACATTGGAGCACATGGAGAGACAAGAGCTTGCTGGCCCTGCAATGGGGAAAATGGGGACCATGCTCCATGGCTGACTGCTGAGAGATAGGTAGAAATGAACAGGCTACAGCCATGGTAGGGTAAGATCCTGCTCTCTGTTAGCTGCAGGATCTTAACAACATTTTGTAGTGTGAGCAAAATTCCCCAAGTGTCTTGTCTGAGGTCTGCAGAAGAAACCGACTCCAGGTTAGCTGAGTCCCTGGGCCAGGCTTCCATTTCAGGCATGACATATTTTGCTAGAAATGCAACTCTGTTGCTGGCAGGGAAAGGGGCCTGATCCAAGACCAACTGAAATCTTCAGTAGGATTTAGATTAAGCCCACAAATCCTGATTCTGCGAAGATTTAAGCTTGTGCATAACTTTACATATGTGAATAGTCTCATTGAGGTCAAACAAATTAAAATAATGCATGAATAATGACTTAAAATAAAGTACCTGCTTGTCTTGGCAGTATTTGGGGCCATAATGAACTAGGGAAAAAAAATGCAAGCTGACTTTTTCAGAGCTATTGAGGTGTTATTTCAAAAACCTAGTGTGTGATAGTTGTATTTACATGTACCATACAAATTCTAAATGAATGGGAGTGTTTGTTAATCCGTGTCATGTATTTGGGTCAATAAGGGATCCCATATGGCTTCAAAGGTTTGGCTTTTCTATTCTTCTCAGAAAAGTACCTGAAAGTGTATATCCTAGAGGGATCAGTGGGTGTTTTTGCTGCACAGAGATTGCAGGATAAGGATTGCAGGCCTTATTAAAAAGGGGTCTATGTTAATGGAAAAAGCAGTGTGACAGGCTGAGTTAGGAGTTTGCAATATTGCAAGGACATTCTCACTCTGTGAGAAGCCAGTTCCTCTCCAAAATAAGGTAAGAGAAGTTAAATGAACTCTTGCAGGGGCAAAACAAACCTTGTGCTAAATTAAGGTTTCACTGGCAGTGTGGGGAGCTGAGGTGCCAGTGATACGTGCTGGTGCCTGCAATGACTTTGCTGCTCCCCTGACCCTCCCTCCCTCCCCCCCTCCTCTCTCCCTGCTGCCTTCAGTCCTGGGTTTTGTTCCCTAGGCTCCTCTCAGCTGCCACTGAATGCTGTTGCCTTCCTGCTCCTCACCCATGGGGCAAAATCAGTGAAAACAGCAGCCCTGGGCGAGCATACCTTCTGCCCTGTCTATCCCCTGGCTCCAATGTGGTGTTTCATCTGGGTTCAAGGGGCACAAGCTTCCCTCCAAACACATGGCGCTTCTGTGGATGGTGCCTGCTTGCATCATGTTGAGTTTTGCCCTTCTGCATTTTGGGTTTTCAGGTTTTCAGGTATGCATTCAGGTTTTCAGAGCAGCAGGTCATTATTGCCCAGGTAAAGGAACTCAGTGTAGAGGGGGAAATCATCCCTGTCCAACAGCTGGAAGAGATGCAAGCCAGTGGAGCCCTCAAAATGGAAGCCGAACAGAATGTAGTTTATGGGCCATGAGAGCAGCTCTGTACACAGGGCAGATCCTACACATAGTGTTTAGCTGTAATGCTTATACTTAAAAAGTCCTCTGTGCTTTATTAAATATTTCTAAAACACGCTTACTTAGGAAAGTCAATACTATGCCAGACACAGCATAAATACAAACCTATTGATGGCAATTTCTTCATGTGAGCTGAGCTAGACTATTCTCCTAGTGCAAGCACTGCTCTGGGTCTTATCAAAGGCAGAAATGTGTTTCAAAGACAGTTCTTATTTTCATAGTTCTCAGCCCCTGACGGGCAGGGGGACAAAGTCAGCTCTGAACTGCTGGCTTGGCCTCACCAGCCAGACTTCAGGACACTCTGCTTGCTCTTGGCAATGTCAGGTCTTCAGGGAGGAGATGGAGCTTACCAAGCAAAAGGTGTGATTCTTGTAGCCTGTTGAGGCAGTTACTGAAAACAGAAGCCCCTAAAAGTGGCAATCAAATGGGACAGTCTGGCCCAAGCTCTAGGGCCAAAGACTATATTGCAATATTAAGCTAACATCATTTGTGTGTGAAACAACCTCCCTTTTTGAACTGGGATTCTTGTGACTCTCTCCAGTGGCTGCCTCAAGAGTGACACATAATATTCAAACAACCTGAACCAGAATCAAAAGGGATAAAAGACAAGATGTTTTTGGTGTCCGTAGCAGCCATTCACAGAGTCAAAGAAGGTGTATTTGGGGAAAAGCTGAAGAAGATCCATTACCTAGGCTGAAGGTCATGGGGAAAATTTATTGCAATGCCAATGTCTCACAGTAATCAGAACACATCATCTCCTACATTACCTTCCTCACCAGTAGATCACAAAAGGGAACACATTGCTCATACTAAACGTAGGGAAACAACATACAATGACTTTCTTCAAGTTGGCCAGCCATTGCAGTACCCTGTCTGCACTAGACAAGCCCAACGCAGATGTATGTCCTCTCAGCCAGACCAAACAAACCTGGGCAAGAATACTGGCTCCACTCAGCTCCTAGCGACAGCAATTCTAATGACAAGTTTGAAAACACTTTAATGATTTGTGTGTGTGTGTGTGTGTGTGTGCGTGTGAAGAAGAAACAATGAACAATGTCACTGAAAAAATTCCACTGTATCCAAATCATCTGTTGATATTTTCAAGTACTCTCCACACATGCACAAAAATACATATTAACTATAGCTTATAAGTGGTTTCAGACCACAGAATCACTCCTGTAAATATCTCCTTAGGCACAAAAATAATTCTTACAAAAAATCATTTCATTGCATATGTGCACTTCCTCTTCAACTTGTAGAAAGACACTTTCAAGCTACCAAATGCTATTAGTTTTTTAAAAGGAAAATTTCCTGCCAAGTGTATTTATATATTTTAACTGGAAATTATTTGGAAGGATGAGAAGCCTGAGCAGCTGGTAAACTTATCTTGATTATTTTCCCCTACATTTCTAATAAATTATTTTAGCACCTTAAAAATACTTCACCTAAACGAATTATGTGTAGGCAATTTTTGAACTGTACAGAAGTCCTGGAACACAGAAATGGTGATGGGGTATGATGTGATGGGGTAAGAAAAAAAAAAAAAAAAAGAGCTAGAGAGAAATAACAGAGGAAATAAAAGGCATTCAGGGAACACACAGAGGAAGTTAATGAAGAGAAGTCCACTATAGCGGACTACGTTATCACTGTAGTGAAGGGCTTTGCAGTATTACAGGGATGTATTGAACTGTGGGTGGTTTCTTATAATGCCAATGATTTTGAGGGTGGCTCTGGGCTACATGCAGAGAGAAAGCAGAGTAAAAGAAGAGGATGTCATGGGATAGGAAAGGCTGAGGGAGCAATGCTTGACGAGGGGATCCCTCCACCTCCCCAATGTCCAGACAGTGCAAACTTTCTGGGGGCAGATCCTGTTGTCCCTTCACTGAAGTCACTGTGCTGGAGGGGGACAGGAGGACAGACGAGCCATTCCCACACATGGCCCAACATCTGCCAGGACCCCACTGTGCCACACTAGAAGCCCAACCAAACCATCTGAGTGTGCCCCTGGGATATGCTCTGCCAAAGCATTGATGGTGAGCTTTGCCATCACTGTCCATGAGGAAAAAAGTGTGCATCTCTGTAATGACTGGGGTGGCAAATTTTGTTCCTGTAGCAGAAGCACGCTTAGGTGGCTCTAAATGGGAGTTTAAAAAGATTATTATTTGCTCTCTCATGTGCCTCTGGAGGAGGCTGGTGCATGAACCAGACCAACAGAGGGGTAGAAAAATATGTTCTGCAGGGCAGGATGGAGATTGGTATTATTTTCGGTGGGTTGCACAGCAATAGTGCAGTGGTGGCAGCCCTGTGTGGAGTCTGGTAGTACTATATAGACAATACTGCTGTTTTGGAAGCAAGCATGGAGTTTGTGGGCCTGGATGTCTTCAGTGAAAATGTTTTTAGATTGTTTTGGAGGACTTTTTTTTCCAAAAAATCTCCAATTCAAAGATCACTCTAAGTGTGGAGAATATAGCTTTAAACAAATGTGAGCTTTCTTAAGGGAAGACTGACTTCATGCTGTGTTTGTACAATACATGGCACACATATGTTCTATTGGATTACTTTAGTTCAAATAATAGAAATAACTAGTAATAGATGTCCTAAAGAGCTGTGCAGAAGAAAAAGTCCACTGTAAACAAAATTAAAGATGTACTTTGGGATCCTGTTTTTGAGAGCACTTTGACTGTGCTGTACACTATAATATATTTGAAGACTTGTGTTGTGTTCCCCCATCAGTGAAATTGCGCCAAGCAGTAAGATTATACGCTAAAAGTGACATTACATAACATTGTGGCCTTGTCCAATTTTCCCTGAGTACAACAGGAACAATAGGAGGTTATGAGCCACCCACACCCTCAGTCACAGCTCCAAGTCCTCTCCTAGTCAGGTGTGTCTCAAAAGATTTTCCCTCTCCCTCCGTTTACTCCCAGGGTTGAGTTTTATAGTTTGATTTGGTTCATTTTTTTCTTTCTGGCAGTCTTCTGGCTTTTCTGGTCTTACCTATTGATTCTTGTTTAAACAGTGTCTGAGCTTTCAGTTTGCCCAAAGACAGTCTCCTGTCCCCTCATAGCTTAGGGAAGCAGAAAAAGATGACAAAGGCAAGGAGAACAAATGATGTTTCCCTACAACATCCCACTAGCTGGAGTATTGTCTGGGGAAAGGGAGGCTGGAGTGTGGTCTGCTGCTCCTTCAACCCTCAGGTGTCTGCCAGGCTGTCAGACCTCCCTTCCCTCCAAAAGTTTTCTTGTAGAATGGAGAAGGCTTTTTCTTTCATTGCAACTCGTGTTGCTGTTTAAAACTTTGATTTTGGTGGCTGACTTTTTATGACCAAAAGTTATCTTCAAGATTCTTGTGCAACTTCACTATATGCTTTCCAGCAGTACAGGAAGGTGAAGAAATTATTCTGTATTTGTAAAATGAATTAATAGGTTAATTGGCAGTTACCTATAGTGTAACTGGAAGACAGTAGCGTGAGGGCCAACTGTAAGGGCAGAGCACCTCAGGTGATGTGTCACTTCTCTACTCTTCAAGGAGACTGAAAGGTGGCAGTGCTGCCACTGCTGTGTAAAGGTGCTTGGAGGAACAGGGCAGTCAGACGTACAGTTTCTATGCAAAAAGAAGAAAGAAAATGGAGAGGCAAGATGTTATCAATTAAGTCTCATCTCAATCTTAATTTAGTAATATTTATAAAAGAAATATTTATAAAAAGTATAAAAGCTATAAAAGGCAAGTAAACAGCGCTGAGTGTGCAGGGAGTCTACGCTCCACCAACACGCACACACGAACATCAAACATTCTAAATATATAGAACATTGCTTTTACATACTAAACCCGAGTATTGATATAATATAAACTCACTTTAGGATAGAATAAAACTTGTGGAATGATATTGTATAAACTCACTTTAGGATAGAATAAAACTTGTGGTTAAAAGTTAGCAAGGACAAAGTAAACGACATCTTGTTATCTGTAGACCTTCTGTTATGTTTAAGCATCTTGTTATTTGAAAACATCCCAGTATCTGTTAACCGTTAGGCTGAGACTTGAGATAACTTGAGTCAGCTGTCTTGTCTTGTTAACTGAGACTTCCTGTTATCTGCCGACCCTCAGTTAAACTGAAAGCCAACTCAGCATTTTCACAGCTTGGAAAACAACTGATTAAGCAAAGGTGAAAAGTGCATTACGAGGAAGACCTACAGCCTTCCTCCCAAAGACCACTGCCCACATCCTGAAGACCCCGGTCCACAATTCTTGGAAGGCTTTGCGCAAGCGCAAGGACTGATAAGCTAATTAGCATACGAAGCAAGGGCAGGCGGGGTTAGATAATGAATATGTATGGTGCTAATTGAATATTCATTGTTTCGCTGTATAAATATGAGATATTTTGTCACTTTGAACATGCACGATAGGCAGAAGGATCCCCCGTGCATCCAGCGCTGCAATAAAGAATATACAACTTAAGGAAATTTCGGCTTTGATCTTTAAATCAGTATGCCTATACATATGTACAATCAGAAAAGGTAACAAACAATCCTTTAAGTTCCATGACTTAACAGCCTCCATTTTCCTGATTACAAACAACAGTCTCCATTTTCCATAATTCCAGGGCTAGTCGTGTGAACAATATGTCTCACTTTAAGTTGTTAAGCAACTTGGTCTTCAGGCCTTATGTATCCTGTTCTTCCCAGATCGAAGAAAAGCATATCCATCTCCTTTTCAAGGCAATAGGGCCTGGGTCAAATGGCACATCCAGGTCACCCGGGGGCAGAACAGCAAAAGCCTTTGATGGCTGTAGCAGCAGAGGGGCCCATGGTGTAGCAGTTGGATCAGTAAAGGAGCCCGCAGCTCCCTCACTATCTGGCAAACCACATGCTTCTGACTGTGGTCCCACAGGGCTCTTTAAGGCCTCAGAGACCGCTTGCCAGGTGCCAAGCAATCCCACTGCAACCTTGTTGTTTTTAGTTGCAGAGTCCCACACCTTGACCTCAGTTTGGTCCCGTATTTCAGGATTATAAACTGTCCAATTGTTAATAAGGAGAATAAGCTGTAAGGTTACCAAGACACTCTTTGTTTCTAAGGACATATGACTCCCCATAATGCAGAACTGCTTACCAGCGAGAGGCAGTTGTGTGCACAGGTCCGCTTCTCTTGGCTCAAGCTTCTCTCCAGCTCCAGTGCTGGAGAGAAGCGACTTTCCAGCGACTTTCCAGCGACTTTCTGTACGAGCTTCTCTGAGCAGTTTGCTGAGTTTGGCCGAACCTATCTTCATGAGGCAATCAAAGTGCCTGTTCCCGTCCTGGTCTCCGTTCTGCTAGCCTGTTCCTCTTCACTCCTTTTTCCTGCTTCTTTATTGATCATAACTTCATCACATCATGTTGCCTTCCTTTTTTATCTTGAGGGCAGGCTCCCTTCTTGTACCCTTCTCTCCACAGCAGTTCTTTTCAAAACTTTTCATTGGTCAAACAACTTTGAATGTAACAACAACAGCAAACACCCAGAAACTTCCATGCCTTAATGGCTGGAGAACAAGAAACCGGAGACTGCATGGAGTCTCCTGAATCACCCTTCTTTGTTCCCTCTAAACTCTTTTACATTCCTGATGACCTCATCGTTAAGAGTCTAATGTTATCATTAACCACGGGGCTTTCCGACCTCCATGGCCACACTCCCAAATCTCCCCCTTCGTTATTAATATCAACCATTTTCTCGACACGAATTAACACTCCATATACAACAAAGAGCAACAACTATTGCACCAAACTGGAGTTACTGTGGCTCTTCCAGAGACAAGGATGCTCCCGAAGGAGTTGAGGTTGGTTGCTTTTACTCGCACGTAGCTCTGTACTTAGTTTGAGTAGCTCTCAGCAAGAGCCTGGTGCTCTGGTACATTTAATAGACAGCCAGAGCACAGGGATTTGCTGTTTCTTTAATGAGATGGAAATGATTAAGGAGGTATTGGGGAGGTATTGGGGAGGCAAGGACAATCCCCAGACATGGACTGTATATCTCGAAACAAGACACTGGAACTCATGATAAGGAAGCGGCAGACGGACAGAGAAACAAATGTAAGGACTATACATCTCAAAATTGGACATTGGAATTCATTATAAAGATACAACAAACGGAAGAATTGGCAACAACCAGCTCTCGCAATTAAGAAACGTGCCAATTCAGCAGATTCCTGACCAAAGGTGAAAAGTACACTGTGAGGAAGACTCGGGGTCTTCTTCCCAAAGACCCCTGCCCACGTCCCAAAGACCCCTGCCCACAATTCTTGGGAGGCTCTACGCAGGCGCAAGGTGCCAAAAGGCTAATTAGCATGAGAAGCGAGGGAAGGCGGGGATAGGTAATGCATATGTATAGGCGCTTGTAGAATATTGATAGATTGATTGTATAAATTCAAGACTGCTTTCCGCTTTGGGTATGCACGATAGGTGGAGAGATCCCCCGTGCATCCAGCGCTGCAATAAAGAATATACCACTTAAAGGAATTTTGGCTTCGATCTTTGAATCAGAAAATATATGAATCTCTCTCATTTGACTGGTGGTTGTAAACCCTCTGCTCCGATTGGCTCCTGCCCTGCAATATTTTAAACTGTTTTGCAAGCAACAAAAAATGCAACCTCAGCTCTTCATACTATTCAGCTGAAGTAGGAAAAACTACAAAAATTACGTGAAAGAGAAGAAGATGGAAAAAACAAAACAAAACAAAACAAAACAAAAAAAAAAAAAACACCACAATAGGCAAAGCAAATGGGCTGTGAAACCGCTGATAGGGAAAATGTTTTCATGATGTAGCGAGTGCTCTGAGTCACTCTTCTCCTTTGAGTCCAGTGTTGTTCGTTGTTCCCAGTTGACACTGACAGGAATTTTGACAACAGAGTGCACAAGAGCAGGATGGGGCCCTTCCCGTTGTTCCTGTGGATGCTGTCTGATTGTTGGATGTTTTTGTTTGCAACAATCCCAGATCCTCTTGTTCAGTTTTGTGAGGAGTCCCCATGTGTGCTGCACATCCCCCTGAGGTGGCACAGGATCACTACCACCCCACCACCACCCCTGTGGATTTCACCTGGGGACTCAGGTGGCTTATCCTGACATGCATTTTAGGAACCCCCAATTTCAGACATTTTTAAGATCCTCAACTTTTGAGGCTGTTGGAAATCTTCTCTCCCTGCTGCTGATGACTGAAGCCTCCTTATTCCTGGGTCTACCAGAGCATCGGGCAGAAAAACCAGTCCGTATGAGATATTTGCTAGATAATGGGTCTTTGCAATCTCACTAATCTCCCCTCCAACCTCTAATTTTTTCTGTCACTTCAGTACACCCAGAATGCAAACTATTCCAGAAAAAAAAAAAAAAAAAAAAACAGGTATGGGGGTTATGGAGCAATGCAAGTTTGTAAACACTAAGAAGGGGGGCTATGTAAATCTGTTTAGGCAATTTTCATGTTGACAGTTGGCATTTAGTACTTAAATAACTGTGTAAGCAATTTGGGAATAATGACCTGTGTGCTCAGTGCAAATGCTTTTAAATCTTCCTTAGGTTTTCTGTGCCGAAAGCCCTATGAAAATACCCTTTAGAAAGCAGACAAGCAAACAGCATGAATTGTTGGAGGACCTTATAATTTGATTTAGTTACAGAAATAGAAGCTAAGATTATCCTACCTGAAACAAAGCATTTGTGATAAATGCATCTAAGAGAATGTGTATCCCAATTTCAATCCTGAAAGTACCCATTCTTAAGTCAAAGTTATGCTTCAAGGCCTTTGTTACCAGAATGACAAAATCTTCCCATGTGGTGTCTCTAATATTATCACAAATGGCCCTTTTAAATTTGACTGACAGCTCAGGCCAGTGTTCCTTTGATTATGAATGAGGTGAAGTGCTTGCATAGAAAAATGGTATTTTATAAAAGATCTCTCAGCAGTATCACTAGTGAAATTTTCAAACACAGAGTTTACTCATTGAAAAGTAGGGTTTGGGCTGAAATAGCAAGAAATCTGTCTCTTTTTTAACTATTGAAGTTGCTATATTTGGCATAGTAATAATTCGTTTTTAAAATGCTTTTAAATGCATTTTAAAGACAAATAGGGCAAGAGCTAAATATTTAGTTTGGCACCCAAAATATGGTTTCAGTTCTATTTTTGTTTGTTTGTTTGTTTGTTTGTCCAATAACTTAAAGCTTGTCCCTTGTTAAAATTTGTGGTCCCAAGGTATGTCAGAGAAAACAACTTTGAAATAAAGCTGAGTTAAGCACAAAGACAATATTTGCTTTGACATTCATGCAATTGATCATGTCTTTGGTATGATGCAGTAGAATATAAGGAAAATTAAGGTTGTAACACTATTGTGGTGTAAATGCCTGAAGTAACTAGGAAAATAAAACTAACATTCACACTTTTAAGGAAAGGGTACAGCATTGAAGAGGCTTTCAGGGTAGGGCATAACTGCATTCCCTAGGCTCCCAACCTTAGATGCTATCGCGCTGGGGAAACTTGGTGTGCTAGCTCTAAGGAACACCACGGAGCGTGGAGTGGAGTGGAGACACCACGGCTAGGCTCTGTAATCAGGTGGGGCCTCGATTGTTCTTGTGCACAAAGCTGCACTTTTTGCCACCCTAAGCCAAAGACCTGTCATGTTTTGACAAATGCTGTACCCTAGTGTACTTTTTGCTCATTGTAATATCATTATAATACCAAAACACACCTCCATCCCAAAAGCTACCCGCCTCCAAGGTGCGACCACCCCTCACTGAGCATGCGCTCTGAATTTCTCGGAGCCTATTACTTTAAACGGAGACGGGAAAACTTTACACCAATCATAACTAAGATATGCTTGACTAGAGCCACTCAAGCTCCACCTAAAAGATAGAAAATAATATAAATTGGCCCAAGAGAGAGGGGATGTCAGGGAAGATACCATCGTCAGGGGAGATACCATCCCGAGGACATACAACATCCTTAG